CCCCCCAACCAGCGCCATACCTGCTGCAAGCTGAGCAGCAAGGTGCGAGCCCACTCCTGCCGGTCGATCTGCCGGGTGCAGTTCAGCGTCTCTTTGATGATGTCCCCATAGTCGCTGTAACACTGGGGAGGAGGTGACAGGGCCCAATGTCCCCAAGCTGCTGCAGGGCCAGCAGGACAGCCCTCCAGCGCCTTCCTCCCCCACCTTGGCGTAGTGCTTGAAGACGTCGGAGGCAGCGCTGATCTCCAGCACGTCGTAGATGATGAGCTTGCAGAAGCCGGCTAAGAGCACCCGGCGCTGGTGCAACTCCTCAATGCGGTTCTCGGTGTCCTCTGCGGAGACAGGAGGGGACGGTGACGGGGGGACAGGCATCCCCAGGGGGACAGGCATCCAGGGAGGGACACCTCTGGGACGCGTGGAGGGGATGTACCCATGGCCGAGAGCTCCTCGTGGCCGCTGGAGTGGTGGAAGACGTGGTCCATGAGGAAGGCGGCCAACTGGGACTGCAGCCCGGCATCGGGCAGCAGCACCAGCGGGGCCAGGGCGTCCCGTCCGTCCCGCGGCAGCTGGGGCCCCAACACCAGCAGCAGGTCGCTGAGCACCATGAAGGCCTGAGGACACGAGGATGGGCTCAGCGCAAGGTCCGTCCCCCGTCCCCCAATGTCCCCCAATGTCTCCTCGGCCCCTGCGTACCTGCTGGCAGACGCCGGCGTCCATGTCGGACAGGCAGCTCTGGCACAGCGAGCAGAAGGAGGTGACTCTAGTCTTCAGGATCTGCAGCTGCTCCTGGGCAGGGGGACGCGGTGGCCTTTAGGGACATGTGGGCTGCCCCAAGTTGTCCTGGCAGCCCGTCCCCGTGCCACCCGCTCACCTGGGGGATATCAGTGCTGGGCAGACGCGAGAGCTCCCAGAGGATGTGGAAGTGGAGGCAGGTGATGGCAGGGACAAGGACCTGCGGGGCGGCGGATGTGGGCAAGGGATGGTGGCGGTGCTGAGGAACCCCGTCATATCCGCACCGCGTCCCTGCCGTGTCCCCAGAGCGGTACCTGCGGGGGCACCTCGCCCGTGTCCACGGCGTGCTGCAGGAGCTGGGCACAGGGCTCAAAGAGCTGCCAGGGCGTCAGGTCGTGGGCGCTGCAGGGACAGAGCAGCGTCAGCGGGGCGAGGGGAGCACGTGGGGCAGGGGACAGAGTGCCAGGGACGAACAGGGCAGAGGGACAGGGTGCCATGGGACAGGGTGCCAGGGGAGTGGGACAAGGACACCGGGGGATGCGGGCGGAGGGGTGGTGTGGTCCCACGGCTCCCCACTCACTTGAACAGGACGGAGATCCTCTTCAGCGTGGCCGCCATGCTGTACACCTCCTCCTCGTCCAGGGACGATGCCTGGGCAGGGCCCAGAGTTGGGGACACCCCACGTGGGGTTGGAGACACCCCACACAGGGCTGGGGACTCACACCAGGCTGGGGACACCCTGCTCCCCGCGGTCCCTTGCTGTCCCTCCCACTCCACCACCTCCCAGACCAGCTCTTCCCCACCCATACCCCATCCCTGCCCGGGCCACTGCTGTCCCTACAGGTCCTTGTCCCTCTCTTGTCCCCAGCCCTGTCCTGGGTCCGGGTTCCCATCCTGGAGTCCGAGTCCCTGCCCTGGGGTCACCCGAGCTCCATCCCAGGTCCATGTCCTGATGTTCAGCTCCCGTTCACGGTGGTCCCCAGCCCCGGGGTCTCTCTCCCGTCCCCTCTACCTGCAGCAGCTCAGTGACCTCCTGGTGGAACTTGTCGGCTAGCTGGTCGGCGAGGCGGCTGCGCACCAGGTCGCCGCGGCCGTGCAGGGGCAGCTCGGGGTCGCAGAGCGCGTGGAGCGCGCGGGATGCTGCCTCCAGCACCGCCTGCCCTGTGTGCTTCTCCACCACCTCCTGCAGCTGCCCCAGCACCAGCTCCAGGTGCTGCGGGGAGAACAAGGTGGCAGGAGGTGACAGGACTGCGGGAGGGACCAGGACACACCGCCACCTGGGGAATGAGGGTCACAGGGCTTCCCGTGGGGACCAGGGGACTTGCAGCCTCCCGCAGGGACGTACGGACCCCCCAGGGGAGGATGAGGACAGCCACGGGGGACAGGGACAGCCCCGTGATGGGCAGAGGGTGGACAGCATCACGGTGGGGACAGGGACAGAGAGCATCCCAAAGGGGACACCCCTCGGCATCCCGTCCCCCGTAGCCCCATTTCCTGGGGCAGAGAGGCTCTGCCGCAGCCCTGGGGGGTTGAATCCTTTCTGGGGAGGGGTGGGGGGGGGGCGACAAGGGGACAGCAC